TCCTGCGCGGCCCCTCCTCGGGCGCTGGCAGTGCAGGCTGGCCCTGCCCGGTGAGCAGATGGCCTTTTTATTGGGTGTGTGGAGGTCTTCTCTGCCCTGTTTTCCTTGAACGCTCCCTCCGCTGTCGGGTGAGGTGCGCGTTACGATTTTATTGCCTTCCTTCTGGACTTTGCCAGAGCCAGGCCCTGGTTTTCTGACGTAAAACTGTTAACGGTTGGGGTTTTATTGCCCTGCATAACTACTTCTAATGATGCGAGCAGCCTGAGGAAAGGGCCTGGCTTGATTTCGTCCAAGAGAACGCTTCTTTGAGAGGTTCTGAAGTGTGCGGCTCCGTGCCGTTCCCTGGGGGATGTGCCAAGGGGGGGTTGGGACTCTGCTTTGAGGGCGAGTCCCCCCCGCCGCAGACTGAGGGGCGGGCGCTGTCAGGACGAGCAGGGCTCCCTTCCCTCCCCCTTGCCTCTGCTGCAGACTGTGGTCTTCCCTGTGCGCCCAGCGTGCCGGGTTTCAGGCCCCGGGTGGCTACAGGGGCCCCAGCTGCTGTCACCCAGCCCCCTGCCCACCCCCGGCCCCTCCAGTGCGGCTGCCTTCCTCGCAGTGACGTTTCTGCCCAAAGAACGTGTGGAGGGGCTGGAAGCCCCGGGGAGCCCCGCAGCGGCGCCTCCAGGACCCGTGTGTGGGCACCACACCACGCGCCCTGCAGGGCACGGCCGAGCAGGGTGGACTCAGGTAATGCCAGTGCCCCTCCCTCCCTGCGTCTTGGTGAGAGGCCTGTGCAGTGTTGAGGGGAAAACAGGTTAACTGTTTTGAGGGGAACGTGTATATCTGAGATCCATGTTTTAATTTGGACCCTACTCTGATGTCTTAGTGTCCTGTTCAGTCTGAAACACCCCGTTCATGTAAAAGCAGCTACAGTCTGTGTCGACGATGATCGGATGATGAATGAGTTTCGACTCGTCCGATTTGTTCCATCCGTTGTCAGTGTCTAATCCCGCAGTCTCCCCGGACAGGGCCCGAGGCCTCCGCTGGCCCGAGCAGGGCCTGGCCCCCCTCACTGCACGCTGAGGCTTCGTTGGTTGGGTCTTGAATTTGTTTATTTCAACCAGTTTGGCCCCCAAGGCTTTTATATTTAAATACAGAAATGATCTCAGAAAGAAACACTTTTCTGCCATTTTTTTTAAATTGTGCTTTTCAGTGGTTGAATGTTTCAGGAATATTGAAAGTTTTAAGGGGAGGAAATGGGTTTTGAGGGCCTGTAATTAACGCAAAGAGGATGTCGACTCTGAGCAGCTGGTGATGGGTTGTAGGCCCTGAACGAGGCCCTGGGCCACAGAGTTGATGGGAGGGCTGAGGCCCAGAGTGGCCTTGAGCGAGGCTTGGGGATGCCCAGGCCTGGCCTTTCAGGAGGCGTGGTGTGCCGTCAGCAGGTGCAGCTGGGAGGGTCCTGGGAGCTTAAGCCAGGAGATGGGGCTGGGGCTCACTCCCGTGGGAAGATGGGGAGCAGGTGGCCACAGCTGGAGAAGGACACGCAGCGTCCCCAGTGAGCCCTGGGAGTTCAGGGCAGGGGAGCAGGGCTGAGCCC